AGTAAAGGAGAATGAAGAACACCAAAGACACAAGGAAAGTATTAGCCCAAGAGACAGAAAGGGCCACATAAACCAGAAACTTCATCAGCCTGAGGCCAGAAGAACTAGATGTTGCCCACCTACCACCAATGACCCCTCTCACGGGGAACACAACAGAGAGTCCCGGATGGAGCAGGAGAAAGGTGGGGTGCAGAACTCAAATTCTAGTAAGAAAACCAGACTTATGGTCTGACTGAGGGTGGAGGAACCCTGGAAAGCATGGCCCCTGGATTCTCTTAGCCCAGAATTAAAACAATTTCCGAGGCCAACTCTTCAAACAAAGATTGGACTGGACTGTGGGACATAAAATGATACTTGTGAGGAGTGTGCCTTTTAGCTCAAGTAGATACAAGAGACTAAACAGGCAGCTTCTGTCCGGAGGTGAGAGAGGAAGGCAGAGAGGGTTAGGAGCTGGTTCAATGGACATGGGAAATCAGGAGTGGAAAGGAGGAATGTTTTGTCACAGTATGGGGAGAGCAATTAGTCACATAACAATGTAGCAATTTTTGTATGGGAAAAAAATTCAGTTGAAGGCTGATTTCGTCTGTTGTACATTTAAATTACGTGGAAACTGTTTTTGACATTTTCACAGCTTATGGAAATTATATACAGACACGTGCATTTTAATTACTACATAAGCACTTCAAAACAAGACAAATATTCCTAAGATGGAGAAGGCTTATAGGTCAGATGTCAAGGATGTTGAACCAATGATGTCTGCTTTGGGTGCAAAATTAGGTTGAGAGTCTAGGTTTTCCAGCTAGTGGCGGGAACACAGGAGAAGACAGCACCATTTGGAAAACCCAAATTGACAGAAGTGAAGGGACCATTAAGCAAATATGTTATCTCATGGGTATATTGGGTACAACCTAAAAGCATTTCTGAGATCCTGTTGGTTGTTAATTTATTGTTGCTGTGTCTATCTCATGCCAAACACTTCCTTGACATGGAACCAGGAAACCATACAGGGCTTCCAGTATTTCTCCCCCCGGGACTTTCTAAGAGGCCATTCTTTTGGGTTGTTCCTGTCCGTGTACCTGACCACTGTGCTTGGGAACTTGCTCATCTTCCTGGCCATCACCCTGGACTGCCATCTCCACATGCCTGTGTACTACTTCTCCAGCCTGTCCCTTTATGACATTTGTTTCACCCCCACCATCGTCCCAAAGATGCTACTGAACGTCCAGAGTCGTTACCTATGCAGCCTGCATCACGCACATGTCTTCACAGTTTTTGGACTTTTAGACTGTTTTCTCCTGACCGAGATGACCTCTGACTGCTTTGCTGCTATCTATCTGTCACCCCCTGAACTACATGGTCATCATGAACGCCTGGCTTATCAGCATGCTGGGAACTCCTCCAAAGAGTTCCCCTGTGTTGCCACTTTCTGCACGGCCATTGAAATCCCTTGCTATTTCTGTGAACTCCTCGTGGTCTTCAAGCTTGTCTACTCCACATCTTCATCAATAATGCTGTATTAGATATTGTGACAGGCATCATGGGATTTTTTCCTCTTGGATCCTTTTCACATATGCACAAACTGTCTTATGTACTGAGCATCTCAAGGGAAGAAGGGAAGTGTCTTAGTCACCTAGTGCTGCTATAAAAGAAATACCACAAGTGGGTGGCTTTAACAAATTAACTTTCTCACAGTTTAGGAGGCCAGAAGTCCAAATTCAGGGTGCAGGCTCTATGGAAAGGCTTTCTCTCTCTGTCGACTCTGGGGCAAGGTTCTTGTCTCTTAGCTTCTTTTTCTCTTTTTCTTGATGATCTTCATGTGCTGTGGCATATATTTTCCCACATCTCTGCTCGCCTGATTGCTTGCTTGCTCAATCTGCTCTTTTTATATCTCAAAGAAGATTAAGACACACCTTACACTAATACCGTCTCATTAACATAACAAGAAAGCCCCCCTCCCAAATGGGATTATAACAACAGGTAATAGGGGTTAGGATTCGTAACATATTTTTGGAGGACACATTCAATCTATAACATTTCACCGTTTGGCACCCCAAAGTTCATGTTCTTGCCACATGCAAAACACATTCACCCCATCACATAATCCCAAAAGTCTGAAATAAACTCCAATTCGAAAATCTCATTTTGTGAATCATCTAAATCAAATATGGGTGGGAGTTTAGGTATATTCCATTCTGGTGTAAAATTCTTCTTCATTCGAAAATCTCTTTGGGTGGGAGTTGAGGTGTATTCCATTCTGGTGTAAAATTCATCTTCATCTGTGAACCTATGAAATCTAGACTATAAGCTATGTGATTCCAAAGAACGGTAGAACAGGCACAAGATAAAGACATTTCCATTACAAATGGGAGAAACTGGAGGGGAAGAAGGGATAATGGGCACCAAGCAAGTCAGAACCCCAGCAGAACAAATTTAATTGTTCTGAAGTCTTGAAAATAATCCTCTATTCTCTGAGACCATCTGGGCAATGGCCTTTCCCTCCAGACTGAGCGTTGGCCATGCTCTCTGGATTCTGGGTGGAGGCTCCAGGGACCTAAGCTTCAGCCCCGCCTTCCAAGTCCACTGGAATGGCAATTCTGTTTCCTTGGCTTCAGGCGGCCCCCTCTCCTGAGCTGCGACCTCACCCATGCAGCCCTGATGGGCGCCATTCTCCTCCTTGGCATGACATTCCTGCCCCCTCAGCTCTGGGCAATGGCCCAATCCTCTTGGCACACTTGAATGGCAGCCTCGTATTCCAGAACCAAGTTGGTGGAAATCTAACTCTTTAAAACCTAGGAGTCCGTGGCTCCACCCTTTTAAACGGAGTCAGCCCTGCTTTCCGTGTTCCTTCCAACAGTTCTGATCTCCGACCTGCTCCAGAGAGGGTCCTTTTCTTATCTTGGAGGACAACATATGTAGCTCCTTTAGCCTATTTGCTGCCTGTAGAATTCCAAAAGGCAGACAGCTATCCTTCTTTTTCATCCCGTCTCTGCCCCCTTCAGTCTTAAGCTGATGGGTTTTCTGCTGAGTTATTTGGTTAGATCGGTCAGTCACAGGCTTCATCTCTTTAACAAAAGATTAAGTCACCAAGACGCTGGTGAGAGTTTTAGGGCACATGTCCTTAGCATGTACAAAAGAATTTTCCAAATATTAAAGTTATGTTTTCATTTTGCACACTTCATTTTTAAGTTCATCTCTTTCCTCTTGTATTTATGACAAGCGGCAAGAAAAAACCACGTGGTCCCTTTAAGATTTTGCTTAGAAATTTCATCAGCCAGATACCCGAGTTCACCACTTACAAGTTCTACCTTCCACTAAACATTTGAACATAATTAGGACAAGCTCTTTGCCACGTCATAAAATGCTTCAGCCTTCCTCCATTGTCTAATCACATGTTCATCATTGCCTTTTAAACCTCACCAGAAGCACATTTAATGTCCACATGTCTAACGCTATACGTACTGATGGCACCATAGGTATTCACTAAATGGAGACTTTATGGCTCTCCTCACTTCTTTTTGAGCACTCACCAGAATTTCCTTTGATGCCCATACTTCAGGGCAATCTAGGCTTTTATTGTCTAAAAAAAAAAAAAAAATGCTGCCGTTGTGTCGATTCCAACTCATAGCGACCCTATAGCACAGAGTAGAACTGCCCATAGAGTTTCCAAGGAGCAGCTGGTGGATTTGAACTGCTGACCTTTTGGTTAGCAGCTGAGCTCTTAGCCATTCTGTTCCAGCCTACATTCATTACCCAATTCCAAAACTTCTTCCGCATTTTAGGTATTTTGTAGAGCAGCACCCTACTGTCTGGTATCCAATTGTCTTAGTTATCTGATGTTGCTATAACAGAAATACCGCAAGTGGGTAGCTTTAATAAACAGAAATTTATTTTCTCACAGTTTAGGAGACTAGAAGTCCAAATTCAGGGTGCTGGCTCTAGGGAATGCTTTCTTTCTCTGTGGGCTCTGGAGAAAAGTCATTGCCTCTTTTCAGCTTCTGGTATCGGTTCCTTGGTGATCTTCATGTGGTGTGGCATCTATCTTCCCCCATCTCTGCTTCTTTGCTGGTTATTCAATCTGTTCTTTTTATATCTCAAAAGAAACTGACTTAAGATACAGTTTACACTAATACTGCCTTATTAACATAATACAGAAAACCCACTCCCAAATGGGATTATACCTATCGGTATAGCAATTAGGATTTATTACACCTATATTAAACTCGCTGTTATTAAGTTGATTCTGACTTATAGCGATCCTATAAGACAGAAGAGAACTGCCCCATAGGGTTTCCAAGGAGCAGCTGGTGGATTTGAACTGCCAACCTTTTGGTTAGCAACTGTAGCTCTTAACCACTGCACCGAACACCTATATTGGAGGGATACAATTCAGTTCATAAAAGGAAGTATAAAGCAGTTTCCACCTATGGGTCTCACCTCTCGGTTGTCTCCTTGCTCTAAGGAGCCTGCCTAGGTTTCTTTGTTTAGTCTACATCCACATATGCCTCTTGGGCAGGTGTGTTTGTTGCAGTCTTGATACCGTCGATGCTCCCATGATGGACACCTTTATCTGCATGCAGCTTGGAAAACAAAGACATGAAGGGATCCCCAGACAACCTTCTCTGCAATGAGTCTTCCTCCTAGTGATAGCACCAATGCCCTGTGCTGGACAAGTGTGTCCAAGGGCAATGGAGCATGGCACTTAAAGAGTGTGAACTCTTAGCTTTCCCTTTCTGGGTTGAAGTCTTGATGCCACCCTAACAGACGGTGACTCTGAGAAAAATGCTCATCCTCCATGGGCCTCAGATTCCTCATCTGTGAAAAAGAGGCTGTGACAACATGTGCCTCATAAGGCTGATGTGAAGATGAAATGAGCAAATACGGTAAAGCACTAGCACAAGAAATGTACACGTCAAGTACCAAGTAAATGTTCACTCTTGTTATGTAAGATGGATGCTGTCATGGATTGAATTGTGTCCCCCAAAAATATATGTCAACTTGGTTAGGCCATGATTCCCAGTATTGCGTGGCTGTCCTTCATTCTGTAATTTTCCTGTGTTACAAATCATAATCTCTGCTTACAGTTAAAGAGGATTAGGGTAGGACATAACACCCTTGCTCAGGTCACATCCCTGATCCAATGTAAAGGGAGTTTCCCTGAGGTGTGGACTGCACCAGCTTTTATCTTACAGGAGATGACAGGGAAGCAAGCAGAGAGCTGGGGACCTTATACCACCAAGAAAGTAGTGCCAGGAGCAGAGCGTGTCTTTCACCCGGGGTTCCTGCGTGGAGAAGCTCCTAGTCCAGGGGAAGACTGATGACAAGGACCTTCCTCCAGAGCCAACAGAGAGAGAAAGCCTTCTCCTGGAGCTGACACCCTGAATTTGGACTTCTAGCCTATTAGATTGTGGGAAAATAACTTTCTCTTTGTTAAAGCCATCCACTTGTGGTATTTGTTATAGCAGCACTAGATGACGAAGACAGATGTTTTTATAATGTCCCTGGGTTTTGTCCCATATTAAGCCAGTTTCTCTCCCTGTGCCCTGGCCTTCACTAAGGCTGAGTGCCCCAGGATGAATGTATGCATGTAGGATGTTTAGCAGCATCCTTGTCCTCTAAAACACTAGATGTTGGTAAATGCCTCCCTCCCAGTTGTGGCTATTAAAAATGTCTCCAGATATTGCCAGACATCCTGAAAATGGACTCCAGTTGAGAATCACTGGTTTAAGGGAGTGTCTTCCAAAGAGGAAGAGAAAATTAAAAAAGTCTAAAAGAAAGGATATGGGGGTTACATCCCTGTCCCATGTGGATAACCACAGGGTCTGGTCCAGGCCAAGAGGACACAGCAAACATTCATGACCACAGACTTTGATAGAGGGTGGAAAGCCCAATCTCACTGCCAATAGCTGACAGTTCAGGGGACTGTCCAGTGACATCCATTTTCCAGTTGTTAACCATTCTAATTAATGTAAAGCAGTGAGCTGAGATTCAGAGAGCCAGACTTGTAATGTCTCATACAAAAATCTGCTCTCTTCCTCAGTGTGTGGGATGTCCTTGCAAAGGATCCTCTTGTCTTTGCACATTTTAATCAATTGCTCCCCAAGGACTTTTTTTGGACCTTCCTGCTCATCCTGTTGACCAAACAGATATACTTCCGGCCTCTTTCCATTTCTGTATCATTTATTCCAGTCATTAAACACCTACTTGTGGTAGCCAGCCTCCAAGTTGGCCCCCAGGGATCCCCACCTCCTGGTAATCATGCCCCCGGCAGTCCTCTCCCACGTTGAATAGGGCTGACCCATGATACCAATTGTGCAGACACATCAGAATGTGGCTTCCCAGGCTAGTTCATGACAGACACTGCAGGTTTCCCCTTGCTGTCTCTTGCATTGCTGTGAGGGAAAGCTAGCCACCAGACTGTGAGGAGAATCAGCCCTATGGAGGCCTACATGGTGAGGAGCTGAGGTCTCCTGCCAACAGAAGCAGATCCTCCAGCCCCAGTCAGGTTTTCAGATGACTGCAGCACTGGCCAGCATCCTTATCAGAGACTTTGAATCAGTATCTCTTAAGTCATTCCTGAATTCCTGACCCATACAACTATGTGATGTTAAACGCTGACGACTGTTTTCAACCACTTAGTTTTCAGCTCTTTTATGGAGGAAGAGGAAACCAATAATAACACGTAATTCTCAAAATTCTCTTTGTCCACAAATACGTCATCGTATTTTTATTTACACTATTATTTGCTGACTCAATTTTGACTCACAGAGACTCCATGTAACAGAGCAGACTTGCTGCATAGGGTTTTCTTGGCTGTAATCTTTATAGAAGTAGATTGCCAGGTCTTTCTCCAGCAGACCCGCAGAGTGGGTTCCATCCACAAAACTTTCAGTTAGCACCTGACATCTTAACCATCTGTGCCATTAAAGCTCCTTTTTTCTAGACTAGATGTACTAAATAAGCACTGAAGTGATATTTGATCCCTAGGACGCAAATCTTTCATCGGGATCTTCCTCTGATGCTTTGTCTGACAGATGAGGCCAGTGCGGTCATTGACTTTCTCCTCTGTCTCCCTCCCTCACTGCCTTTCACAGGTACACAGGTGCATTCCCTGTCAGGGACCTTCTTTGCAATGCTGGGACTTGAGCAGGCACGGACTGGTGTTCTAGTAAGGAGTACACACCTGGAAACAAGTTTACATAAATGTGCTGACTCAATATAGCCTGAAGTTGGAGAGAGCTTAGCTCTCCTGTGGGGAAACTCCATAATAATCCCCCACTATGCAACAGTGGAAACCCTGGTGGTGTAGTGGTTAAGAGCTCAGGCTGCTAACCAAAAGGTCGGCAGTTCAAAATCCACCAGGTGCTCCTTGGAAATCCTATGGGGCACTTCTACTCTGTCCTATAAGATCGCTATCAGTCAGAATCGACTCGACGGCAATGGGTTTGGGTTTGGTTTATGCCACAATACAAAGAGCTTCCTGGTGAGAACACTGCCTTCTGTCACTGAGAGTTAAGGCAAGGCCAGGCTTGTCTCTCTAGCATGAAGAACTGAAAACTAAATTCTTCATGGAACCTATTTTAGAGTATTGTAGTAAATGGTTCCTTGGCTTTTAAGATTTATAAGTAAGGAAAATGGTTCTCAGGCACTCCTCACGCAATCCCCAGGAAATCCTCCTGTCTTATTAACTGCAAATGTACCATATCTGTGAGATGCCTCAGTTTATTTTGAGTATGCAACAAGACTTATTTTGAAACTACATCTATCCCTCTACTGAGAGAGCAATAAAGATATAAATATAGAAAAACAAGCTAAATTTTAATAAATCTTCAAAGAATAAATGAGACTTTCAGTAGTTTAGACTGAATCTTACATTGAAATCACCTGGATGAAATAAGCTACATCTTCCTGAAAGTAACAATAAGACAGAGAAATCGCTGGACACAATTCAGAAGAATACGGAAATTAGAGAGTAGTCAAGCATTTTAGATGAACTTTACTAATAGAAAGCTGACTTAATTACAAACTATGGAAACAAGGTTCAGAATAGGGGCAGATTGGAAGTCAGGTTTCCCAAAAGTGGGAGCCATAGCAATACAACACAAGGACTTCACGGCCTGGCTGTGAGCCATCCAAATGAGAACTTGAGCTCTGAATGTTTTAAGGTTTCTGAGATTCAAAGCAACTCCAGACCCCTGGCACAGACCAAAAAAAAAAAAAAAACCTCTTCGGAATAAGAAAAATTGTATCTCAATTACGTCTTTAAATAAAACATCTAAAACACTGACTGCTGTTGATCCTTGACAACAAATACATGAATGATTTTCCTTTAATACATGTTAAAAATTAAGATAATAAAATCTAATGAATATGTTTATCACAGAACAAATTATCAGGCACACGGAATGAACCAACATAGATGACAGAAACAGACACAGATATAAATCATCGAACCTGTCAGAAATTCTGTACTGAAACATAGTTACAAAATTAGAAGGGGTAGAAGAGTTTAATATTCCATACACAGCAGGGGAAAGATTTCACGAACTTAAAGATAGGTACCAAAAAAACAAGGAAAATAAAGCAAAGCTATAAAAGTTGGAAAACACTGAAGGAATGGTAAGCAAAAGGGGATAAAGAACTCATGGTAAGGAAAATAAAGGTGGGCCGAAGTGGGCAAACGTTTATTCTAGTAATTCCCAGCTCTTTTGTTTGTGGACAACCTATGTGACAAAGTCTCCTTTCTCCAGGTCATTTCTGGATTAAAAAAAAATTTATTCAACACTTTGAGTTTTATCTCACAACTTTTCTATCTCTGACTCTAGGAGTGACATCAGAATTATTTTCAATTCCCAGTACCATTTAGGGGCTGACCTTCCTCCACTGTCATGTAAATTCCCTTGTTCCTTTTACTGTGTTTTAACTATACCAGCTTCTCTCTTTGTTACTGTTGTCTGCCCACCTCCCAGTCATTTACTGAATTGATTCTTGACTTTGGAACCTAGCTCATCCTTACACTCTCCCCTAAATTCTGCATCACTTCTGGGGCTTCACTGTCTGCATGAATTTTTATCTACTAGTTTGGCCTCTAATTTCACTGACGTCATTACTGGGGAATTCCCACTCCATTCCACCCAGATAACCAATTCTACGGACCCATGGTCATCCAGAAGTGCTCTGTGCCTGTGAAATCATTGACTCTATCTTCAAAACATCAGTTCACCTCCTTAAAGCTTGCCCGTATCTATTCCTTGATGAAATAAAACCTATAGTCATGCGGTTCTTCCATCTCTGCCTTCCCAGGGTGCTCCTAACTCTCCTACTTTCAGACACCAAAGTTTACTGTGAACGTCTTCTTCTTAGGGACTTTTTTTTCCTAAAAACACATTTAAAGTATCTCATTTGGGTATGAATTCATATCATTGTAGATCACAAGCGCTTGATCTGATTCCACAGAACTAAACTGTTCTGAAAACCAGTAGGATTAGTCTGTGTTATTGAATGAGCATATCCTAATCTTGAATATAGGCTTTAATCTGACAGGGACGTTGTCCACAAAAAGTACAGAGAAAAAGCTGAGGATGCAGAATGCCAAACACTTACGGGGTAGAAATTAGGATATTTTGCCTGGAAAATATTAAGACTTGGAAAATATCTGTCAGAATATTTGACTATTTTAAGAAATCCATATGAAAAAAGGAATACTTTTTTTTGTGTGTGTGCCCAGGAGGCAGACAGAAATTTGATAGGGGAGATTTCTAGATACTGATGTCTACTCTAAGAATATCATTTAAAAAACAAGAAACTTTATCAGGTTTATTTGCTTTTAGAAAACGTCAGCCATTTGACAAGGTTCAGCCACGATAAGCACCAAAGATCCTACCATTGTCTTCCTAGGAGTCTCTTTACTTGGAATTATGGTGCAGATGTAGACATCACATGCAGAAAAAAAAAAAACCACTATTTCTGAGAAAAACCTCTAGCAGTTACCTGCAGGACCCCTCTTCTTTCATTCCACTTACCAGTCATCAGAAAATTCCATTTCATCATCATTTTAATTTCATCCATCCCACATTCATTAACAAACTGCCTGCTCTGTGAGTCTGTGTTCTGTGTGATGGTAATACAAGAAGAACCTGATGTGTCATAAGTCATTAGTTCATCCATCCATTCTTCGCTTCGTTTGAGGACTTTTGGTGTGACAGGCACAGAGAGAAGCAGAGACAAGCAGAAGCTCTACCCCAAGAAGCTCTGTAGGGAGACAGAGCATAAGCAGTGCTATACTAAGGGCCAAACGAGAACCAGGACAGTACAGAGAAAGGGAAGTTGGGGTGATGGGTGAAGGCTTCCTAGAAGTGGTAGCCTTAAAGAGGACTCGATGTAAAATTAAATGGAGAAGAAAATGCATTTTACACAGGTGAGGTGCAAATATAGATGTTAAACAGCAGAGGTATAGACGCTGAGTTTGAAAACCAACATTCTGTTGGCAGTAGCTAAGTGGCAAAATGATAAAATGATAGTAAGATAAACTCCTCGGAGCCTATTCTAATGATTATAGGATATTTGGGGCTGAAGCCTGGAAAAGAGATCTCTGCTGGAAATGTGGACATGTGGGAGTTGACTGGGTTGGTGGTTGAAGCCAAGAACGTGGGTGGCTGTAGCGCATTTTCAAAGAAGTGTAAACATGAAGACTGAAGAGCTGAAAAATAACTAGAAAAGGGTTCGATTAGGTTGGAAACATTTGATACTAAGGGCAAACAGTCAAGAGCCAGGAGATACTAAAGACGCTGGAGAGTAAATGATTCACAGTGTGATGGATCAGAAAAGGGGGAGATACCCAGAGCTGATGGAGAGGGCCAAATTCTTCACTGAGATGCAGAGTATGGCAGTGTGGATGGGTGTAGGAGGAGAAACTTTTGTAAGGAGAGGCAAGAAATTGAGGACGTCCCTGGCTGATTGCCTCTAAATATATTTATTTACTCACTTGTTAAAAATTATTTACTCAGTCTTTACTATATAAAGACAACAAGTACACAGACATCAGTCTGGGCCAACCCATTTTCCAACCCTCACTAAAATATTCACCAGTCGTGTAATTTAGTAGTTGAGACATCGGTTTTAGGGTCAAGTGAAGCTTAATAGCTTCACCTACTTACAATCTATGCCAAGTAGACTGAGAAATCCCACTTCACAGGCTATCTGCATCATGTGGAAATCTCAGATTCCATCTCTGTTTATTCTGACACCAGCCACCTACGCAGGATTCTCTCACTGACTCTAGTCACCTGGGGCTAGGCTAGACCTCACAAATTAAAAAGACACTGTTCTTCAGATGGCCAAACAGGCTGACAGCAGCTGTAAGTTTGGAAGTCTCAATGACTCCCAACTTCTGATTTGCTAGCCAAAAGTCTGGAGGTTCCCTCTAACTCCCTGAGAATACCAGCTGCAAGATCAGGGGTCCCCAGCTCCCGTACTTCTGAGCTTCCTTTTGGTTCAATAATTCACTTGGACGACTCACAGTTATCACGCAAAACCCAGACTTATTATAATGGATTAAATATAAAAAGGATGCAAATAAAAAGATGCACGGAACAAAGGCCAAAATGCTTTCTGCAAGGTGGTTCATCACCTTGCAGTTAGCAATTCTGAAACCATGTATGTTAGAAAATTCAGCAAATAATGTACCGTGGATAATGAGAACCAGCAGTATTACTATGAAGTAACATAAAATAAAGGAAAAGGTGAAAATGAGCCCTGTAGTACTGGACTGGAATCAGAGATACAGGTATGATCTTATGGTTTTTGTAATGTATACAGATACTTATGACACATATTTGTATTTATTTCTATATATATTTCACACACGTATTTCCTAGCTGTTTCCACTTTGGGGGCCCAGTAACAATAAGCATACTGAATGTCCAGATCATTGTTTTTAAATATCCATCTCTAATAAAAACAACGAGGCTTTCTTGGAGAAAAGTCTGATTCCAGGGCTCGGGCAGGAAAAGGACAAGATGAGCCTCAAACACTTCAGAAAGCAATGTACAAAATATAAGAGACACGTGAAAAAAACAAAAACCAGGAACCTCAAGGGACCTCCTAATAACCAAGTCTAGGACAATTTGAGCAAGAAAAAAAAGGAATATGGATTATCTTATACAGGCTGTCCCCAAATTACAAACTTATGTACGACTTAGTCTGACTTACATACAACCTGTAGTTATGAACTCCTGCAAACCCTATTACGAATTAAGAATACTTTCTGCAGGAATACAAGCCACATATCCTTTGCTCGCTGGTTGCGTGGTGTCCACCTGCAGCTTGGTCTCAAAGCTCTGAACCTGGCAGAGGCCGACATCCCGTGATATCACGTGAGTAGCCGCACAAAGGAACGGTCCGTTCTCAATGCTTACCTATCCTCCCTACTCATCCCACCCACGGTGGGGTTCTCCATGTCCAGTGCCCATGTGGGTGACTTTCTTGCCTCCCCAGGTTGGGAGTAGGGAGGACATAGCAAGAGGGAATCCAATGAAGCTGCAAAGGTTCCTAACAAACAAGCTACTTTGAAACTCGCATCAAATATTATTACTGTATTATGTTAAAGATGTTTCAAGGTATCTGGAAGTGTTTATTTTTATGCACAGTAAGGTACATTATACACTATGCACTAAGACAGACATTTGACTAACTTTAAATACAAACCATCCCTAACTGTTCTGACTTATGTACAAAATCAACTTAAACACAAAGATAGGAACCGAACTTGTTTGTAATCTGGTGACTGTCTGAACTGTTACAATTTAATAAAGGAGAAGAATGAGAAATTCCAACTAATAAACATAGAAAAAAATGACTGGATCAGAAAACACCATTTGGTAAACTCCACAGCAGCAATCGTAGTTAATAATTATCAATGCATACTAAAAATAGATCAAAGTATGATAAAAAACAGAATATTTGTACATTTTCTTTGTACTGCCCTATGAAAAATTACTGATTATAAAAAGTAAAACAGTTAAATTTACAGTCGAAAAGAACAGAAGCAAATGTTTTAAATATAAAAACCAAAACACAAACCATTTACAGAATGAGTATATTTAATTGTACACAAAATAACATCAACAAAAACATTAAAAAACACAAAACCACATTTGCTCAAGGCTATTCCTTGCAGGCTTATTTGGAATAGCCAAAGACTTTCAGGAAGGTAAAATTCAGCTTGGATTGAGAAAGTAACAAACACTGATGAAAGCAGCCCTGCAGTTACAATGAAATTCATTTCTCTCAAAGGCACAAAGTAGCTCTAAAGACTAGTTCTTTTAGTACTGCCTTCTTACTGAGAAACTTTTTAATTGCAGACTTTTGGAAATTTGCTCTTTAAAATTACAGCAGCAAGGATGAAACATCCCACTTTTGGCATAGAGTAATCGCTCTATTTTGAGTTCTTATATGTGAACTAAGGTGTGAAGAACGACTAAAGGCTTTCCCACATTCCCTACATTTATAAGGGCTCCCCACTGTGAGTTTTTCTATGTGCAGTAAGGTGTGAGGAACACCTAAATGTTTTGCCACATTCCTTACATTCATAAGGCCTCTCTCCAGTGTGAATTCGCGTATGTGTAGTGAGGTTTGAGACTTGCCTAAAGACTTTCCCACATTCTTTACATTCATAAGGCATCTCACCACTATGAGTTCTTCTATGCGTAGTGAGACCAGATAAATAACTAAAGACTTTCCCACATTCCTTACATTCGTAAGGCCTCTCTCCACTGTGAGCTCTTATGTGTGTACTGAGGTGTGAGGAACGCCTAAAGGTTTTCCCACATTCCTTACATTTATAAGGTCTCACGCTACTGTGTATTCTTCTATGTTGAGTGAGGGATGAGGAACAACTAAAGGCTTTCCCGCATTCTTTACATTCATAAGGCCTCTGCCCATTGTGAGTTTTTATATGTATACTGAGATGTGATGACTGACTAAAGGCTTTCCCACATTCTTTACATTCATAAGGCCTTTCTCCACTGTGAGTTCTTCTATGTGTAGTGAGGTTGGAGGCTTGCCTAAAGACTTTCCCACACTCTTTACATTCATAAGGCCTCTCTCCACTGTGAGTTCTTTTATGTAGAGCAAGGTATGAAGAACAACTGAAAGCTTTCCCACATTCCTTACACTGATAAGGTTTCTCTCCACTGTGAGTTCTTTTATGCTTGGCGAGGGCTGCGGAGTAACGAAAGACCTTCCCACATTCCTTACATTCATAAGGCCTTTCTCCACTGTGAGTTCTTATGTGTTGAGTGAGGTGTGAAGAACAACTAAAGCCTTTCCCACATTCCTTACATTTATAAGGTCTCTCTCCACTGTGAGTTCTTACATGTTTAGTTAGGGATGAGGAACAACTAAAGGCTTTCCCACACTCCTTACAACCGTAAGGTCTCTGACCATTATGAGTTTTTATATGTGTCGTGAGGTGTGATGACTGCCTAAAGACATTCCCACATTCCTTGCATTCATAGGGCCTCTCTCCGCTGTGAGTTCGCATATGGGTAGTGAGGGCTGAAGAACAACTAAAGGCTTTCCCACATTTCTTACATCCATAAGGCCTCTCTCCATTGTGAGTTCTTACATGTTTAGTGAGGTCTGAGGGCCGACTAAAGGCTTTCCCACATTTCTTACATTCATAAGGCCTCTCTCCACAGTGAGATCTTACATGAGTGAGGGATGTGGCCTCACTAAAAGCTTTCCCACATTCCTTATATTCATAAGGCTTATCTCTGTCATGAGATCTTATATGTAAAATGACGGATGAAGGACAGCTATAAGTTTTACTTTCTATACTTTCATGATTATGACCTGTCATGGATGTCCGAAAGGATGAGAAACTACAGAAAGCTTTCCCACATTTGTTACGTTCACAGCATTTCTCACCACTGAGTGTTGTCACAGGAGTCTTAAGGGTTGCGATAGAAATGAAGTCTTCACATACCTTGCGTTTATGGGGTTTCTTTCCGTTAAGAGTTCTCATAGGAGTGGGTAGGTGAGAGAGACAACTGAAGGCTTTTCCACATTCCTTACACTGACAGGTACTGCATCCGGTGTGAGATCTGGTCTGATTCTTATGTGATGAGTGATCCATGGAGGCTTTTCCACACTCACAGCCTTCAAAAGGATTTGCTTCTGGAGGATTTCTTTTTAGCACAGTAAGATTTGGAATCTGGCTGTAGGTTTCCCCACACTGATTGCCTTCATTGCTTTCACAGTGGTTCTCTACTGGATAACTTCTGTTAAAAACACGCAACATGCTGTTGGAAATAAATTTGTTCCCATTTCACCATTACCAAACACAGTGAACATGCATGGTTTTTGTCCTGAGTTGTCTCATCTTTCATAGATAAAATTATCTACCAGAAATACTATTGTTACTGTCACTGTTTTTCTAAATAATGAGGCTTTCTGATAACTATGTCCAAGTAAAATATATTTCAAATATATAATATCTGACTCATATTTATAAAAACGTATGGTGAAAATTCTCTGCACATGTAATTTTACAGCTAGGTTTATATAAACATATACATTCACTCCTCACTTATAAACATGATTAGGTTTCAAAGTCTAGAAAGTTACGTGACATTCTGCATTATACGTAAAAGAATGACCACACAGATCACAAAATGGGAGATGACTACATCATCACATAACAGCCAGATCACTGAGATTCATGGCTCAGCCAAGATGACATATAACCTTAATCGTCACAGCTAGCATTACTCTTACCTTGCATCTAAGCGTTTGTTACTGCCAGACATATGGTGTTAATTCACAAAGTAGTCAGGAAGTAGTTTTATTATTGTCATAAATGTGAAATGTCGGATATGAGATAGTTGATAAGGAGTCACAAAACCAAAAAAACCATTACTGTTGATTCCAACAGGACAGCGGAGAGCTGCCCCATAGGGTTTTCAAGGAGCGGCTTGTGGATCTGAACTGCCAACATTTTGGTTAGCATCTGAGCTCTTAACCACTGTGCCACCATGGCTACAAGTAAGGAACTGATGTGTATATACACATATGTATATACATTAGTGCCCATCAGGACTTAGAAACAGGTTCGTAGCGGTTCACCAGTAACGGTTCACCAATAAATGAGAACAGTGTACGCGCTGCACAGCAACCAAAGCTGTTGCTCATGGGATTTTGACTCAAACAACAGTGGTACTCCGCTGCTGTGAATGTGTCTCTCTCTCCACAGTCCTGCCAACAATCCAATCTTCCGCATACATCCCAAAAGTTTCAGGAGCTGAATGCGGGAGATTGGATTACTGGCTGTATTATGGACAGTGACACACATTCCAAGTGGGGTGGTCGGCCGCTATAGTTGAACGGCGAGTGCTGATTCTTTCCTCCTCAGGTCAAAATCCAACAGGTAGCAGATTAAGCTGTTATGCAACGTGTATGCTGCCCTTGTGTGAGTTGGCAATTACTGAATCATTAAGAAGCGGTTCAAAGCCCTGGTATACATACATAAGCATGTACATATGTAGGTATATATTTTTTGTTACTAAGTTGTATTTTTTTTAATTGTATTTTAAGCCAAAGTTTATAATTCAAGTTAGTCTCTCATACAAAAATTTATACATACATTGTTATGTAACCATAAATGCTCTCCCTATACTGTGACAGGACACTCCCCCTTTCCACTCGATTTCCCGTGTCCATTCAACCAGCTCCTAACCCTCTCTGCCTTCTCATCTCACCTCCAGACAGAAACTGCCCATTTAGTTTCATGTATCTACTTGAGCTAAGAAACATGCTCTTCAGGAATATCATTTTATGTCCCACAGTCCAGTCCAATCCGAGAGTTGGCCTTGGGAATTGTTTTTAGTTCTGGGTTGACGGAGAGTCTGGGGGCCGTGCTTTCTGGGGTTCCTCCAGTGTCAGTCAGACCATTAAGTCTGGTCTTTTTAGTAGAATCTGAGTTCTGTACCCCACCTTTCTCCTGCTCCATCAGGGACTCTCTATTGTGTTCCCTTTCAGGGCAATCATTGGTGGTAGGCAGGCACCATCTAGTTCTGGTCTCAGGCTGATGCAGTCTCTGGTTTATATGGCCCTTTCTGTTTCTTGGGCTAATACTTTCCTTGTGTCTTTGGTGTCCTTTATATATGCATATTTTTATGTCATGACAACTCAGAACTTTCTCCTAAAGCACTGTTTACTCATTTAAATGATACCCACCTTACATGTCTCCCCTGGTTTTCATGCTTATCTTTATTGCCATGTGATTGGTCAGAGATTTCTCCTAACATGGAAGACCAGGTTTCATTCTTCAGGAGTCGCACCATTATATGTTCACTGGATAACTTTTCTCCATTCTTAAGGTTTCCAGAGACTGACCCAATAATTCAAGTTGAGGTTCACAATATGAAACAAAAAGGAAAAGAATTATCAAGGGAAAAAAAGGCTGCTGTGAACAAAGAAACAGCCACATTTTGCTGTACCAACACTTCGGCAATGGTTAAAAAGCAATTTACTACGAAATACTTCCATTAGGATTAAGAGTCATGGATAACATGAGTAGGTGTAAATTAGGAGGGTTAAGTAGGAAGACTAACAGCAATCCTGTAACGACAGAGTAGAAATGTCCCACAGAGTTTCCAATCTGCTGCTGGTAGTTTCCAACTGCTGACCTTTTGGTCGCTATGAGTGGGAACTGACACAATGGCAGTGGGTTTGGTTTTGTTTTCAAGTAGGAATACGTTGGATACAATACACATGTAACAAGAAAAGAGGAAAAAAGTCTCTATGACCACAGGTGTGAAACGACTGCTAAGCAAGCTCAGGCATCTGGGAAGTTGTGTTCTCAATTCAAAAGAGACTTTTTCTAGCTGACTGATTTAAATGTAATTGCCTCTGTGCAGGGACGGTCCTTCAAAAAATTCTGGCTTTCCTGGTGCTTCCTGACACAGTGGCCCTGGATGAGTCCTATCTATAATGCATCAGATCTTTCCTTTGTTTCTTTAGGAAAATATGTATAGCTGACATGGTGCTCATGTAGAAATGCATATTATGAGAGAGAACAGGGAAAAGCAATGAGCATCTCCTTGACACTGACTCAACAGTTTGCTTTTCAGGGTCTTTGAAGATGGGCAGTTGTGAGTTTATCTGCAGCAAAATAATCATGTAACAAACACAATAAAACTCATTCTATAACGTCTCAAACGACAAATCTCTCAGTGCCTCCAAAGTGACCCCTGAAGCCAATGCTTACACTTACACCACTTAAAGAGTTTCAAGGCATTTAATCACAACAGAAAGAAAAACTCGCTTGAATACACAGAGCTTTATGTTCACAGGGAAGAGAGGAAAAGTGAGCTCCACAGACCAAGAGACCATGCTTGTTTTATTTAACAATTTATTCACACTCCTTAGCCCAAATATTGGCACAAAGCCAACGAGTGAAATACCTTTGTTCACTAAAAGAATAAATTTAAAAAATGATGCCATTCTTACCTACTGAGGCCAGGTTTCTGAAGGTTTCCATCATCACATCTCTGTAGAGTGTCTTCTGAGCAAGATCCAGCAAAGCCCACTCTTCCTGGCTAAAAAGTACAGCCACATCCTCAACGATCACTGAGTCCTAAAACATCCCACACATTCCGGATCAACATGGTACCGTATATTCCAATGTGTACAAGAAAGAAAGGTGAGGCTGACAGTCTTTGAGGAACTGAGAATTCATAGGGATTTGACACAAGGTTCTGTGTCCTACTAAGGTCTTCTCTAGGGTACAGCCATCAGCCTCATCCCATCACTAACTACATTCACTTCCTCACTGATTGCATCTTGTCTCATACACTTTCAACAAACAGAAATGATCTCCCCAGTTTGACTGCGACCAACTGCAGTCATACTCTTCTCTCCGTTTATGGTCTAGAACAGTCAGAAAACAAAGCAAAAATTAGAGAAATGCTCTCATTGAGATCATCACTTTCTTATGAATAAACAATTACATCTCCTTTCACAGACACATCAGAACACACAACAACACATAAAGCACAGGGTGAAGGCAGGGTGGAGTACTAACTGGGGAACACTGCAGAATGGCAGTTTTTCTTTTTGCCCCTCACGGCTATGGGAGGACCAGAGGCTAGCACAAAATAACAGGCAACCCAAGGCCCTGAGCTGGTCATATTTTCTAGAATAATTCTACGAGATCAGGAGATGATAGGCCTATCTGCTGAAAAAATAATACTCTTTTGTAGAATAATGAATTTTCGCTTGTTAGTCACCTATTTTTTCAAAATCTTAGTTCTGTCACCTCTTCTGTCCCTTTCTTACAAAGGTAATAAAAGGTAAAAAGAACTCAAGTGAGACAGAAAACATGAAAGTACAGATCTCCCCACAATTCTCAAATTTCGAGACCTGATACAGCTTTACACCAATTACATATTAGTGACTGCAGATCTCCCCACAATTCTCAAATTTCGAGACCTGATACAGCTTTACACCAATTACATATTAGTGACTGCCTCCTTAACAAACACAAACTCATATACCCTCACACAAACACAATGTAATGTTATAAAACGATGAAGAGCATTACTTCTGCAGAAACAAGAACAGCATGCCCTTGTGTTTGTGAGTGAGGTTATGATTCCCATTCTGTAATGACTGCACAACATGATAAATATAATATCACTAAGTTACACGTGTAAACATTGTAGAACTCACAAATGTTGTTATATATATAACTTTTACCACAAAAATTAATTTTGTAAGTAAATTAAAGTGCAGACAATTTACCTGTTAAATTGCCCATGAAAGCGTAGGAAACAGAAACTTACACACCAGCCCTCCAGAGGCTCCATTCCAAAATTCTCTCACATCTGCAGCCCCCAAAAGGCACACAACCACGACTACCTGAACCCTGACCACTGGAATCCCCTGGTAAGAGTGACTTCTGTGATGTAGCACCAATCCACTGGATTCTTCATAGAGTGAGAGAAAAGGCTGCTCAACTACTGTTTGGGTGCTAAGTCAGAGCAGCTTTAGGGTAAGGAGACTCCTCTTGTCAAGGAAGTGGTGAAGTGAGCTATGTCCTCTCTAATCAGTCCCATCAGTATGATGGGTCATAACAAACTATGAGCTAGAGCCAAAATCCAAAAGTCTCCACTGCAGTGGGCCAGGTTACATATTTCAAAGTCATCAAAAACCCTAACATTCATTATACAATAAGGTAATGATAAAACGTCCCATGTGTTGAGCAACTATGGTCTGTGAAAAGTTTTGCAAAAAGTTTTCAACATACTAGGCTCATTTATATCTCCTGACTCTCCTAAGCAGATATGATTTCAAACAGGTCATAGCTGAGTAAAGTTAGAGACAATCAATTAACTACATGGTCTATGGTGCCCACGAGCCCTGCTTGTGCCATGGTTAAGAGCTACGGCTGCTAATCAAAAGGCTGGCAGTTCGAATCCACCAGGGACTCCTTGGAAACCCTATGGGACAGTTCTACTCTGTCCTATAGAATCGCTATGAATTGGAATCAACTGGATGGCAATGGGTTTTAATGTTAAGTGGTGATATGTTCTATGGAAAAAGCACAGTAAGGGGATAATAAGCAATTAACAGAAACATATTTATCTTAGTCAACACTGAGAGCAACATAATCGTTTTAGAAAATGTTAGCTAGTGAAACTGGGCTCGGTAAGGGGAAAAAAAAAATCACACTTTCAATTCTAAAAACTTGGAAACAGACTATGATGATTTTGCAAATACTCATATACATTTCACATGCTAGTTGACTTCAACAAATCCCAACGTAGAAGCCCAGGAGTCAAAGGGCTCCACTAACCTTCACGCCCAGGAAGGGGAAGTTACATTGCTTATACCCAGAAAAAGTCATTAGCAGTACGAAAAACATGTAAATTTGGGAAAACGGAAAAACAAAAGCAGCTTAAATGAACAGTATAAAATATCATGAAAATAAAGACCACAGTAATGACAGAAAACTCAAAGACCTCCAGTTTCTGGTTTGATATATAAGCAGCACGTAAGTCATCACTCCCATTCACCCAAGAAAAAAATGTGAACATACGGAACTCAGAAAATTGAGGTCACAGGGCAAATTGCTGCCCCAAAACAGGAGGGACACATAAGCAGCTACAGAATATCATGCCAGAAAAACCTAGGAGCAGAAACCACCTCTAGGATTAGGAAAACTTAAAATGTAATTGATGAATTCCTGGAGGCTCGATGTGGACAAACTTCAGGGTTAAACATGCCAAAGGCCCCAATCTTAAGAGGACCCCCCCAGAGTTTTGTGAGTTTTACTTGCAGGACCCCTATCAGTTCCTCCGTGTGACCATCAGAGAAAAATCTCCTTGTGCTTCCTCCCAGTAAGGGGAAGAGAAAAAGCAGCCATTTCATAAATTTCCCAGAGGATTCTATTCTCCCTGACAAGGCCTGCCCTCAAGAGAACCTATTTTACCAGAGTCTAACTGAGCTGCAGTAGTGAAACATTCAACTCCAGCCCCATCCAGGCTTCCTGTCTCACCAAAGTGGGTAACGGGAGAAGCAGAGGAGCACTTTTATGGTCACTGCCCAGGGCACAGGCTCACTGAAAGACTGAGACTTAATCACTACACTAACCCAAGCTTCCCCTTTCTCCACATCTTAGTACTCCATCCATAGGGCTCTTACATAATAACAAATTAGAAAAGAAAACACTCCAAGTCTCAGACCTGATTTAAGAAGTCTTCAGGAAACCCAAACACTACAGGGAAAAAACAAACAATACTATCAGAGCAACTGACAATTACAGCAAACAGTAAACACAGACTGTCTAGCCAGACAAAGATAAAATCTCATTCTAAAGACCTATTTACTTACCTAATTTCCTTTTACTTAGTACATAATCTCTGGCTTTCAATAAAAAAACTACCAGGCATCCTAAAAACAACAGCTGGAAGAGACAAAGCAGACATCAAAATCAATCTATGATATGGCACAGATTTTGGAATTATAAGACCAAAACTTCCAAATGACTATAATTAACACGTTAGGAGCGCTGATGAAGAAAGTATACATATAACAACACATGGGTAATGAAAGCAGAGAGATGGAAACTGTAACAAAGAAGCAAAAAGGAAATGCTAGAAATCAAAAACACTATAGCAGAAATGAAAAGTGCCTTTAATGAGCTTATCAAATAACAGGACAAAGGTGAGGAAAGAATGAGCTTGAAGATACGTTAACAGAAACTCTCAAAACTGAAATGCAAACAGAAGATGGAACAGAACAGCCAAGAATGGTGGGACGATTACTATAGGTGGGCCATCCATGGATTGAGAATATCAGAAAGGAAAAACAGTAGAAACGAACTGAAGAAATAATTGAGGTAATGACTGCGAAATTTAGAAAATCAATGACGCACAGCGAAGATTCAGGAAGTTCAGGGAACACTAAGCAGGATAAAAACCAAAAAACCGCCTCTACTGATGTATTCAATCTGTATGGTGAGCAAGTAATCGAAGAAACTGGACTATATGAAGAACAACAGGGTATCAGGATTGGTGAAAGACTCATTAACAACCTGAGATATGCAGATAACACAACTTGCTTGCTGAAAGCGAAGAGGACTTGAAGCATTTACTGATGAAGATCAAAGACTACAGCCTTCAGTATGCACTACACCTCAACATAAAGAAAACAAAAATCCTCACAACTGGACCAATAAGCAATATCATGATAGATGAAGAAACTAATGAAGTTGTAAAGGATTTCATTTTACTTGGATCCACAATCAAAGCCCACAGAAGTAGCAGTCAAGCAATCAAAGGACGTAATGCATAGAGCAAATCTGCAAAAGACCTGTTTAAAGTGTTCAAAAGCAAAGATGTCATCTTCAGGAGTAAAATGCACCTGACCCTAGCCGTGGTGTTTTCAATTGACTCATATGCATGTGAAAGCTGAACAATGAATAAGATGGAAGAAGAACTGATGCCTGTGAATCATGGTGTTGGCAAAGAATACTGAATATTCTATGGACTGCCAGAAGAACAAATCTGTCTTCAAAGAAGTACAGCCAGAATGCTCACTAGAAGCAAGGATGGCGAGACTTCACCTCACATACTTTGGACATGTTATCAGGAGGGACTATTCCCTGGAAAAGAACATCATAGTTGGTAAAGTAGAGTCAATGAAAAAGCAGAAGATCCTCAATGAGATGGATTCAGTGGTTGCAACAAGGGGCTCAAACATAGCAGATTGTGAGGACAGTGCAGGACATCATTCTGTTTCATAAAGGGTCACTATGAGTTGGAACTGTCGTGACGGCACCTAACGAGTAAACGTGATGAGTCCAGTGAGCAAATGAAAAGTTCAGCAGGATCCAGAGTACTGGCCGAGCTGACGATGCAAGTAGAACTAAGGAGGCTATTCAGAGTGGGCTTCGCTGAAAAGAAACACCCGAGCTAAGACTGGAGGTATGTGAAGGAATTACCCAAGGGATTCCTGAGAAGACATTGTTCCAGAAAGAAGAAACAGCTGGAGCCCAGGCCAGATGGTGGGAAGGCGTCTTGTATGTTTCAGGAAGAGCCAAAAGCCACTGTGACTGGAGCAGAATGAGATACAGGAATCTGGAGACGTGACTGCAGTCAGTGGGCATATCATGTTCTGGGGACCTTCTTGGCAGCTGTCTTAGTCATCTAGTGCTGCTGTAACAGAAATACCACAAGTGGATGGCCTCAACAAAGAGAAGTTTATTCTCTCACAGTCCAGTAGGCTACAAGTCCAAATTCAGGGCATCAGCTCCAGAAGGCTTTCTCTGTCAGCTCTGGAGAAAGCTCCTTGTAATGCATCCGTCTTTCCTTGGTCTGGGAGCTTCTCTGCGCAGGAACCTTAGGTCCAAAGGACGCTCTCTGCTCCCTGCACTGCTTTCTTGGTGGTGTGAGGTTCCCATGTGTCCCTGCTCACTTCTCTCTTTTATATCTCAAAAGAGATTGGATTAAGACACTAATTTTGTAAACCTCATCAGCATAACCTCATCACAGTGATAGAATTTACAACACATAAGAAGATCACATGTAACCTCATCATAGTGATAAGAGTTTACAACACATAAGGAAATCATATCAGATTCCACAATCATACAATACTTGGAATCACGACCTAGACAAGTTGCTACACACATTTTTGGGGGGACACAATTCAATCCATGACAGCAGCCGAGAAGAATGTAACTTTTTAATCTGAGTGAAATGCAGAATGATTTTAAGCTTCTGAGCAGAGGCTCATAAAGAATTGGTGTGTGGGGGACAAACATAAGGAGGAAGATATGTTAGAAGGTTACGGGGATAATCAGGTAAGACATGATGATGGTTGAGACTGGGGTGGTGTCTGCAAAAGTGGTGTGTGCAAGGGATGGGCCTAGACTTTTAAGGCAGAGGCAACAGATTTCCTGATACACTGAAGGTTGAAGTGCCCCACTCCATTTTACTTTAGAGATTAAATAATTGCATATGCAGAACCCCAAAGATGGTAAAGATGATTACAGGACCGAGGGATTTTAGCCAGTATTCAGATTACAAAATAACTATCAAAGAAAGGTTTACTCCAAATATTTCATTTACATACACTAGTAGCAAGCAGTTGAGAAATTATCTTTTAAAAGACAATACGTATTTTAGTAAAAGGTACCTAAAAGGAGTATGATTAAAGATCCTAATGAAGAAATTATAACACACGCAGACTGAAATAAATGAGGTAGAGCACGCTCTTAGAAAACTGTTCTTCCCTGACAGATCGTTATTTCCAATGCACTTCCATAAAATTCCAAGCAATTGAATTATTTTTTAGGACTTCACCAAAAAAAAAATATATTAAAGATGCATTAGGAAATGCAAATGTCCACGAATAGCCAACATGCTCTAAGGAAAAAGGCATGGGGGCCTGTCCAAACACGTCACATATATATAATTATACTTTCACGTATTTACTTTATAAATAAAGCTATCATATATTAGACAGTGTAGTATCACTATAAACCCAAACCCATTGTGACTGAGTCGATCCCAACTCATAGCAACCCTACAGGACAGAGAACTGCCCCACAGGGTTTCTAAGGAGCAGCTGGTGGATTCGAAATAGACTAATGAAAAAAAACAAACAAACAAACAGCCCTGGAAAAGACCCACCTACCTACATGAAGGTGACTCACGACACAGTGAGTAATGCAGGACAGTGACAGAAAGCACATACACTTTATTAAATGGAGGCCCTGGGTGGCGCAAAGCGTTAAGAGATCTGCTACTAACTGAAAGGTTGGTGGTTTGGGTCCACCCACAGGCACCTCTGAAGAAAGGTCTGGCTATCTAACCAGAAAATCAGCCACTAACAACCCTAGAGTGCAGTTCTACTCTGAAACACATGGGGTCACAATGACTCAGAATTGACTCTACGGCAACTAGCTTTTTATTAAAATCAACTAATTATCCAATTGGAATAATTAATATATTCTCATGTACTCCATATATAAAAAATCAATTCCAGGTAGATTAGTTTTAAATACCCCAAAATAAAACTTTAATACTTTCAGAAGTTATAAGCAAATGATCTTATAACATCAAAACAGAGAAAAAATTCTTAATAGTAAGATACAAAGGAAGAGATTGACAAATTCAACTATATTAAAATTTACAACTATTCATCAAAGGGCAGAGAAAATGAGTGAAAACATAAGTTACATACCAGGAAAACAATTCCGAACGTTTGTAAACAAGATCTAAAAAGTCCTAGAAATATAAACTAATGGTGGGAAGATATGCAATGTCTTGTCAGTAGTGGAGCAGTGTAAAGTAATTACAGAATAAAGGTCAAATGAAGATCCCATTTTACACTCTTTACAAGAGCAAAAAGTCATTAGTAAGCAGACAGAATAAGTAAAATCCACAAACATACTATGTGGGAGGAAAAAGCTGTAAAACGCCATCAGTATTTCCTAGTAAATGTGAACATGGCTATGGTCTACAACGCAGCTATTTCCCTCACTGCAGGGTTATTGTGCAGGGGCACATGGAGCCTGGAAAGGGAATGAACAAAAGAGAAGCAAGAGTCACAAGAGCAAAAATGACACTTGAGTACAGATGTCAAATTCTAGTAAAAAGACCAGACTTAATGGTCTGAGACTGAAGGAACCCCAGAAGACAAAGCCCCCGGACTCTCTATCAACCCAGAACTAAAATCATTCCTGAGGCCAACTCTTCAAAGATTAGACTGGACTATGGGACATAAAATGATGCTCATAAAGAGTGTGCTTCTTAGGTCAAGTAGATACATGAGACTAAATGGGCAGCTCCTGTCCAGAGGTGAGATGAGAAGGCAGAGAGGGTCAGGACCTGGCTGAATGGACATGGGAAATCTGGGGTGGAAAGGGTAAGTGTGCTGTCATATTACAGGGAGAGCAACCAGAGTCCCATAACAACGTGTGTACAAATTTTTGAGTAAGAAATTAACTTGAGCTGTAAACTTTCACCTAAAGCACAATAAAAAAATAAAAATGACACTTGGACCACCCAAATCCTGGAAGCTCTGCAATGGCTAGGTAGATTGTGGCCCGTTCATACAATGGGGACATACATACACAGGCACATGGGCGGACTACATAGATTGTGGCCCGTTCATACAATGGGGACATACATACACAGGCACATGGGCGGACTACATAGATTGTGGCCCGTTCATACAATGGGGACATACATACACAGGCACATGGGCGGACTACATAGATTGTGGCCCGTTCATACAATGGGGACATACATACACAGGCACATGGGCGGACTACATAGATTGTGGCCCGTTCATACAATGGGGACATACATACACAGGCACATGGGCGGACTACATAGATTGTGGCCCGTTCATACAATGGGGACATACATACATAGGCACATGGGCGGACTACAGCTTCAGACACCAACACGTATGAAACTCAAAAGCATCCTGAGAAAACGAGTCACTGAAGAACCCAGAGAGAGTAATAACCGACTTTACAGAAAGCTCCAAAGAGGCAAAACTAAGCAATAAAGAGCTTACAAATAACACTAGACGATAAAGCTATAATAATAGCACCAGTATTGGTAATCATCATATACTTCTAAATAGAGACAGTAACAGTCTTCACGCAGGAGATGAGATCCGGGTGGAACACACAGGGAGGCCATAAAAACTGATCAAGATCTATTTATTATCAGCGATTCAGACTACTATTTAAACAGGAAAAGTTTACCCCCTCTTCTTTATAACTGACAATGGAAAGTTTAATGCATTATTGAATACATAAACGAAATTTCCATCTAGTAATTACACAAAGTCATGTGAAATCAAGAACACTGCTCAGAAAGATGGGACAAGGACGGCTCTGGAGGGCGGGGCTCAGCCTCCACAGCCAGAGCTGCTCCGTCTCCAGGCCCTGGTCAGGAGACTCTGTCTTCAACACAGACCGCCAAGGCCCAGGGTGGGGATGTTAACGCCCCACGGTGCCAGCTCCGAGAGTCACATAAAGAAGACGACCCCAGGCATCCACATCTTGAAAAGCCACATGTGTATAGAGGAAGGGTCCAGTGACAGTGGAGCAGGGCCTCAGAGTGCCTCCTAGGGCTCAGTCCCTTGGCCTCCTCTGCCACCTTTATTCTCCACTGGGGAACCCCAGTCCCACAGCGCACAGCTGCTCCCCGAACAATTCATATCCAGCCTCACGCTCTTATGGTAAGGACGACCCAGTTCTCCATAGAACTCACCATTTCCTTCTCTAGCTTCTGGAAGTTGAAGGGAATGTCGTCTCTGAGCCCAAGAAGCCACGTCAGGAAGAGGGACGGGAGTGGAAGCAGAGCACTGGGCAGTCTGGAGGCCGATGAATAATGTTTGGTCCACACACTAGTCTGAGCAACTGAAATCCTTCCCTGTGATTTACGGATGTGCAGGATGGTCGCCCTAGGTCCCCAGCTGTCTGGACTGGCCTAGTTCTCCCTGCACCACACCTGACACCTGAAATGGAAGAAGGATGGAGAGGAAAGTGTTGAGGAAGCAGGGAGTGACAGGTCTCTGGCCTCCTCCCAGGGCCACGCTCCACCCTGAGGGCATTTGCACTGAAGGCAGAACAGGCTCCAGCCTCCAGAGCACACACCTGCATTCTTCATGCGGCTCCATGGGCCTCTTCTTTCTGCAACAAGGTCACAGATGGAGGAATTTACTTATCCCAGAGCATGGGAAGCAACCAGGCCTGGCCAGGCTGCAAAACTTGAACCTGATTTCCTCCAGGGAGTCAGGGGTCCAGCGTTGAAGTTGTGGGTTCACCTGTGTAACTTTGTCCCTTATACATCAACACACACACTGTTATTTGATATTAATGTGGGCAAATTATCAGGAAGAACATATTTTTCAAGTTTTGTCAATGAACTCATGGTTCATTCATTTTTACTTATGTTCAGTTAAAACCCTTCTACTGTACTTTTAAAACAATTTTCTATTTCATTTATAGCTTTGTAATATGGAGCCCTGGTGGCACAGTGGTTAAGAGCTTGGCTGCTAACCCAAAGGCTGGCAGTTCCAGCCTACCAGCTGCTCCTTGGAAACCCTATGGGGCAGTTCTACTCTGTCCTATAGGGTTGTTATGAGTCGGAATTGACTTGATGGCAACGGGTTGGGTTTGGTTTGGTTAATATGTATCATATTTTTCCCGTTGCTTTTGCAGTTAACATTTCTTTCTTTCTCTTGAGTTTTTTCTTTTCCCTTCGTTCTCAAACCATGACAGCACCAATCCCTAAGCTGTTGAGAGATCTGGGAGGATTCCTGAACATTTTGTGCTTTCAACCTTCTAATAAATCGATCAACAAATAAATCAGGAAATCATGAGGTTTTCTCTGAGGAGGCATCTCCCCCCGGTGTTCCCGTTTCTTTCCACCCTGCTCCCCTCCAAGCTGCCTCCTAGTCTTCCATTTTTTGGTCTCAGGTCAATGTTCTCTCTCTCGCGTCATCTTTACAGCGGTGTCTCCCCTTTAAGGATTATCCTTCCTTCTATCCTCTTCTCTAGGAGCACTAATTTTAATTCACATTCTTATTTACAGACATTATCTCCAACATCAACTAGCAGCCTGTTCAGCAAGTAGACTCTCAAACCCCACCTCCGAATTGCTGAATCAAAATCCGCATCTTAACAAGAGCCCGAAAAGTCTGGCTGAGGCTGGCTTGTAAAGAAAAGACGACAAAACGGCGCGGGGGCGGCGGACGGGAGGCGGGGGCAGGGCACTGAGAGGCAGGCGAGCGACCCCGGCGCCCGTGAGGCCCAGGACCCTGCATTTCTCACGCGCTCCCTGTGCCGCTGACGCCGCTGCCCCGAGAAGCACGCGTGTGCGCGGCGAGGGTTCCCACGACCTCACCTGTGAACGCACCGAGAGAGCCCAGAGGAGTCAGCAGGACGCGGCCAGGCGGCGGCGGCTCCCCGGCTACAGGGAGTCCCGAGGCTCTGGGAAACCAGGAGTGCGCGGGGAGCGGGCGCAGCGCCCTCAGACCCGGGACAGGAGCTGCGGGTCACCGGCTAGCGGAGCGGGCTGCAGGCGACAGGGCCACACCTACCTCACAGAGGAGCAGCAGGGACACAACCGCGGCTGCCGACCGAGGACGCTCACTTCCGCTTCCGGTCTCTGGGACTCTTGGTGCTCAGGGGAGGGCTTCCGTGCGGGAACCCAGAGCTCTCCAACTCGGGACCGTGGGGATCAGTGGTTCCCCCTGGTGTTTGGGATCTGCCCACCAAAAACCGAAAGACCAAACCTGTTGTGTTCCTGTCGATTCCGACTCATAGTGACCTTATACGACAGAGTAGAACAGCCCCATAGGGTTTCCAAGGAGCGCCTGGTGGATTGGAATTGCCGACCTTTTGGTTAGCAGCCGTTGCTGTTAACCACTACATCACCAGGGTTTCTGCAAAAGTATCATATTTGTATTTACAGGAATAAACAAACAGACAACCGAAAAAACAGATGCTGTTGAGTCAACTCTGATTCATGGTGACTCCATGTGTGTCAGGGTAGAACTATGCTCCATAGGCTGTCCTTATTTCTTGTATAGAGAAACGCCTGAGTTTTCTTAAATGCGTCTATGATCTGAAAAGCCTATCTCAGTAATCAAAGATACCTTTTGGGGAGCAGAGAAAGTTGCTATTTGTGTTGTCAAAAAGTCTTAACGGCTAAATAAGTAATCTGCAAAGTAAATGATTTTTGAGGTTTTAGTGAAGCACACAACACACGATTTATAAATTGGGGAAGCACTGAACTCACAGAATGAAAGCAAGTCTCACAAGTGAGATCAGTGTTCCGAGCACTGGAGCGTTATAGAGGAACAGCTATCACCAGTGCCTTCTGCAACAAACAGATTTTCATTGTGACGTATCAGAAAACAGAACGCGAAACTGGCTGCGGGCACTCTATTAACAGACCAAAATCCAATGAATTACAATCTGTAAGTGCTTTTTATACAATTTTGACAGGTGCTGACTCATTGTGAGTAAATTACTTACAGACTATGGTTGGTTAAAGACAAGACAGAAAACTGAAATCATGATTGGGTGACCTTTTCTTGTATTTCTTTTCTAACAATGTGGTCTCTTGACGCAGGAGTCCCGGGTCGGTCATATGATGGCTGTTTTTTGTTATGTGGGCTACGTATAATATTGGGTAGATCTCTAACTGGCTTCCTGGGGTAAATTGTCATTTAGTTTTGGTACACATGTCCACTGTCCATTGAACGGGTTAGAGCACTCTGTCCAACCCCTTTGATGTAGTTTTCTATTGTTTCAAGCTTTTCAGATTCTGACAAATGAGTTAGCCTTTTACAGTTATGGCCTGCTGTGGTTAGGTTAAGCCTTCATTGGGGAAAGCATGAAAAAATTATCCACTCAAAAAACAGGATGAAATCACCGTGAGGGCAGTTATGGGAAAATGAATGAATATTGTAATAATCATAGCTTGGTTGGATATATGTCACACAGTTATGGTAAAAGTCATATAGATTAAATTATAAGTAGATTATGTAAAGAAACCACAATAAGTTTGTGCTTCGTTTCTGACTGGTTGCTACTTTATAAGAAACCACATGCTTAATTCTAATTGGCTGATTATCTTGTAATAAACCACAAGCTGTGTTAAAAGTTTCTTTGGAACAAATCATAATATGATAAACACATTTTTCAGAGACACAAGAAGCATAAGTAGTTTCCTGACAACGGTCAAGAGACAAAATGGAGTCTTAATTTCAATCAAGTTACAAGATGAAGTCAGGGCCCTTGTCATACGTCAGTTTTTCCACCAATTCAGTGCCTCAAATTTTATACACTTAGTCAGCATATTTGGCCATTTGAAAAATTTTTTTAACCATGTTCTTTAGAGAAATAATTTCTTTGTTCCACATAAATATTTTGCCATCTTTAGAATTGTTGGATCGTCTCTAGTGTGACTTCTGGTTCACGATTGGTCATCTCTTGCATATCAGGCATCTTTCCCTAGGAGCAGGGTACATACTGTGCACACCCAGTCTGACCTCTCCAAGTGCTGAGGACCCTGGAGAGAGGAGTTTTCCAGGGTGAGAGGCAGAAAGATACCAGTTGTTCTGAGGACCAGTAGGTAAAAGGTGCAGTACCTTTGAACATGACCATTATAAACAGTGTTTACTTTTGTCTCTTATATACACACGTGTAATAAAGTGCATAATGTGTACTAGTCTTACGTGTACAACGTGATGAATTTTTACATCTGGATAAACACTCATATAACCTCCTCTGAGATCAAGTTAGGGAAAATTTCCAGCACACACCAAGGTTCCCTCCTGCCCTTTTCCCAGTTGACAGTCACCCTAAGAGTCACCAGTGTTCTGGCTGTTACGGCCGGAGGTAATATTTGCCCATTCTTGGACTTCATACAGTCAGAATCATACTGTAGGAAGTTGGTTGTGCCTGACGCCATCTAGTCAACGTAATGTCTGTGAGATATTATCTGTTGTTGCACGTAGCAGGAATTCGTTACTTTTATTTTGTTGCATTGTTTTATTTCAATGGATGAATATACCCCAATTTTTCTCATTCACTTAATGATTCATTTTATTCGGTTGTTAAAGCTTGCATTGTAACTCAGCGTGTGGTCTATCTTGCTGAATGTTTAATGAGCGCTTAGAAGTAACGTCTTATGTTGTTGTTGGGTAGAGTGTTCAATAAATGTCAGTTAGTTAGGTCAAGATGGTTGATAGTGTTTGTCTTAGTCATTTAGTGCTGCTGTAACAGAAATATCACAAGTGGGTGGCTTTAACAAACAGAAATTTATTTTCTGACAGTTTATGAGGAAGGCCCTTGTCTCTTCATTTTCTGCTTCCTGGTTCCTTGGAGATCTCCATGTGTCTTGGCATCTCTTTTTCCCCATGTCTCCTCTGCTCACTTGTTTAATCTCTTTTATATTTCAAAAGAGATTATCTCAAAACATACCCTACACTAATCCTGCCTCATTAACATAAGCATTTGAATACTAGCCATAAGCTTGGTTGTTCAAACCTACCCAGAGGCAACTTGGCAGAAAGGCTTGGTGATCCGGTTCTGAAGGTCCACAGCTTTGAAAACCCTGTAGAGCACAGTTCTACTCTGCGCACATGAGGTTGCCATGAGTTGGAATCCACTCGACAGCCACTAATTACAGCAACAACAAAGACATCTATATCTATACCGGTTGCCCTTTAGTCAGCTCTGACTCATGGCGACCCCATGTGTCTCAGAACAGAACTGGGCTCTGTAGGGTTTTCAGTCGCTGATTTTTCAGAAGTAGAATGCCAGGCCTTTTTTCTGAGGTGCCTCTGGGTGGATTTGAACTACCCACCTCTCAGTTATGAGTCGAGCACTTAGCATTTGTGCCACCCAGGGCCTCCTTCTATGTCTATAGCTGCATATAGAGTGCAGTGGCGGTGAAATGGTAGAAGTCTCGCCTTCCATGTGGTATGTTTGTATGTTTATGTATGTGTATGTGGTGTACGTAAGGGCGGGTGTCTGTGTGTGGTGTCTGTGAGTGTGTGTGTCTGTGATCTGTGTGGTGTGTCTGTGTGGTGTGTTTGTGTATGTGTATGGTGTGTTTATGTGTGTCTTTGTGGTGGGTGTGGTGTATGTGTGTGGTAGTTTGTGCCTGTGTGTGTGGTGTATGTGTGTGTATCTGTGTGTGATGTGTGTGGTGTGTCTGTGTGTATTTATGTGTGTGGTATGTTTGTGTAAGTGCTTGTGGTACGTTTATGGGTGTGTCTGTGATGTGTGTGGTCTGTGTGTTTATGTGTGTGGTGTGTTTGGTGAGTGTGTGTGGTGTTTTCTGTGTGTCTTTGTGGTACGTGTGGTTTATGTGTGTGGTATGTTTGTGCATGTGTGCATGGTGTATGTGAGAGCGTGTCTGTGTGTGATGTGTGGTATGCCTGTGTGGTGTGTTTG